ATATTCCAAGAAATGGATTTTATACGAATTTTTAAAACTTAATCGGCAAAAATTGCAAAATTCGAAAAAATTATTGATCATTTCAAAAATTTATTTCTCCAAAACTAAAAGCGATTTTTTAAAACGGCTTGTTGCATTAAAAAGTGGATACTTTAGTTACTAGTTGGCGATATTTCCACAAGGTTCCTTCATGAAATGAATTTTATAACAAATTTTGAAAGTTATCGATGAAAATTGCAACATCGACAATTTTGCCAAAATTAAAATTTTGTTTTCTCAAAACCTAAAAGTTATTTTTCAAAACGGGTTGGTTCATTGGAAAGAAGACACTTTTATCAATACTTTGGGGTAACTTTCATACTCATATTCCAAGAAATGGATTTTATACGAATTTTTAAAGCTTAATCGGCGAAAAATTGCAAAATTCGAAAAAATTGTCGATCACTTCAAAAATTTATTTCTCAAAAACTAAAAGTGATTTTTCAAAACGGTTTGTTGCATTAAAAAGAGGATACTTTAATTATTAATTGGTGATATTTCCACAAGGATTCTTCAAGAAATTAATTTTATAGCGAATTTTGAAAGTTATCGATGAAAATTGCAACATCGAAAATGTTATCAAAACTTCAAATATTGTTTTCTCAAAAACTAAAAGTTATTTTTCAAAACGGGTTGGTTCATTGGAAAGAAGACACTTTTATTAATACTTTGGGAAATTTTCATACTAATATTCCAAGAAATGGATTTAATACGAATTTTTAAATCTGAATCGGCGAAAATTTCAAATTAAAAAAAAATGGCGATCATTTCAAAAATTTATTTCTTAACAACTAAAAGCGATTTTTCAAAACGGCTTCTTGCATTAAAAAGAAGATACTTTAATTAATAATTGGTGATATTTCCACAAGAATCCTTCAAGAAATGAATTTTATAGCGAATTTTTAAAGTTATTGATGAAAATTGCAACATCGAAAATGTTATCAAAACTTCAAAAAATCGCCCAAAGGTTTACTTTAAAGTTTGAAAAACGATTTTAGTGTTATATTAAAGTTAAATTCTTCCTCTTTAAGAATTCGCAAAGAAATTGTTACATTTATATCATAAAATGTTGAGATATTTTCAAGAATATAGAACTCTGTTTTAATTAAGGTTTGTTAAAAAATCGATAAAATTCAAAAAATCGCCCAGAGGTTTACTTTAAAGTATGAAAAACGATTTTGGAGTTATATTAAAGGTAAATTCTTCCTCTTTAAGAATTCGCAAAGAAATTGTTACATTTATATCATAAAATTTTGAGATATTTTCATAAATATTGAACTCTGTTTTAATTAAAGTTTGTTAAAAAATCGATAAAATTCAAAAAATCGCCCAGAGGTTAACTTTGAAGTTTGAAAAACGATTTTGGTGTTATATTAGAGTTAAATTCTTCCTCTTTAAGAATTTGCAAAGAAATTGTTATATTTATATCATAAAATTTTGAGATATTTTCAAAAATATAGAACTCTGTTTTAATTAAGGTTTGTTAAAAAATCGATAAAATTCAAAAAATCGCCCAGAGGTTTACTTTAAAGTTTGAAAAACGATTTTGGTGTTATATTAAAGTTAAATTCTTCCTCTTTAAGCATTCGCAAAGAAATTGTTACATTTATATCATAAAATTTTGAGATATTTTCATAAATATAGAACTCTGTTTTAATTAAGGTTTGTTAAAAAATCGATAAAATTCAAAAAATCGCCCAGAGGTTAACTTTGAAGTTTGAAAAACGATTTTGGTGTTATATTAGAGTTAAATTCTTCCTCTTTAAGAATTTGCAAAGAAATTGTTACATTTATATCATAAAATTTTGAGATATTTTCATAAATATAGAACTCTGTTTTAATTAAGGTTTGTTAAAAAATCGATAAAATTCAAAAAATCGCCCTGAAGTTTACTTTAAAGTTTGAAAAACGATTTTGGAGTTATATTAGAGTTAAATTCTTCCTCTTTAAGAATTCGCAAAGAACTTGTTACATTTATATCATAAAATTTTGAGATATTTTTATAAATATAGAACTCTGTTTTAATTAAGGTTTGTTAAAAAATCGATAAAATTCAAAAAATCGCCCAGAGGTTTACTTTAAAGTATGAAAAACAATTTTGGTGTTATATTAAAGTTAAATTCTTCCTCTTTAAGAATTCGCAAAGAAATTGTTACATTTATAACATAAAATTTTGAGATATTTTCAAAAATATACAACTCTGTTTTAATTAAGGTTTGTTAAAAAATCGATAAAATTCAAAAAATCGCTCAGAGGTTTACTTTAAAGTTTGAAAAACGATTTTGGTGTTATATTGAAGGTAAATTCTTCCTCTTTAAGAATTCGCAAAGAAATTGTTACATTTGTATCATAAAATTCTGAGATATTTTTAAAAATATAGAACTCTGCGTTAATTGAGATTTGTTAAAAGAATTTTATAAATGTTTTACGCATTTCTATAATAATCATTTTGTATCCAATTGTGTGCTAAATGATGAGTATCCATGTGATTCTAAGATTAGACTGAAATTTCTTTAAAATATTAGATAATATTAAGATTTTTTTGTATATACAGGTGTCCCGTTAAGGGTACGGAGCGGCTGTACAACGGTAAGGCCTAGAGGTTTGGGAAAAAAATCCTTATAAGCAAAGTGGGCAAGACAAATAGCTGGAAATTATTTTGAAGTTCGTAATTCAATCGCTAGGGGGCGTAACTGCCATAGAGAAACTTAAAATTCCTGCTAAACTAATGTTTCAAACAAAATTTGTTAAGAATTAAAAACGGAAATTCCCACTGAACAGTTTGTCTAATTAAGTATTGTTTGTATCAAAAAAGTTTTCAAATAAAACTAGGTAAGAATTGTGAAAGGTACAAATTTTATTAATACAATTTTTTGGAATTTAAAATTTTTTAATTTTCTCCTGAACCTTACATATTTTGTAATGATAGGTTTTTAATATTTTTTCACAGTCTAGAGTCTTGTTATGTAACTGTAAAAGTATTTAATCAATTTTGGGAATATAAAAAAACCAAGCAATGTTTCGTTAATCTTATTTATTAGTATTATTATCGCTAATAATAATAATTTAATTAACACATTTTGGCACTATGTTACTTTTTACCTTACTATGTAGGGTATTAATCTTTAATTTTAGAACGTGCACTTGATTATTTACGTTATACGTTGACTATAAAATATCACAAATTAAATAACTATAAATATCTACAACTAGATACAGAAATAAAGTTTACCACAAAATAATAAAAAAGTACGTAAAAAATTTGTGCCCTAACGAAACCGTTTAATTAATTAATTAATTCAGATCTAATCGTTACGTTGACATGGAATGAATGAGTATTTTCTTTTTCCTAAGAAATCCGATTTAATCCGATTTTTTTTAAACTAATTTCGATCATTGAGAGAATTTTTAATCATCTTAAAGCGGAATTGGGTCCGAAGAAGCAGCGGATAAAGCCATCTTCGAAAGCGTAGAAAGACTGCGTCTCGGAAAACCGCTCCCCGGGCTGCCGTCCGAAAACAATTTTCGAAAGCTGAAAAAGACCACAACAAAAACAAATTTTGGTGCAGATTTTTCTCCTTCGTTACGTTTCGAAAACCAAACTTTCTAAAATCTCAAACGAATGAAACCCGATGATCGACCAGAGCCTAAAAAGAAAAATAAAAAAAATTTTTTTTCGGGGAATCCCCAAAAATTTTCAACAAAAAAATGAATAAAAAGAACCCGCTAAGATGTTAGAAAGCTTATGGTTTTTGGTTTTCATGCAAAACATTACACACCACCTGCGTTTTTTTTTAAAACGTCACAAATGGATCCCCACATATTTATTAAAACTTACAACTTTCTTATTCCAGATTCTGAGGACGCGGTGCGTTTCCAAGGAGCGTCGTCGGGTTCGTAAGGTAAAGGACCTTGTACTGGGGCGTCTTCATCAACGGGGCTAAAATAAAACGATTAATTAAGTACAATAAAACAAAAATTAATTAAATATAATAAAATAAATTAAAAATAAATAAATAAAAACTCACTCAATTACAGAAACAACATCAATTACTGGAAATTCTTTTGAAAGATCATCTGAGATTTCAACATTTTCAACGTTAATTGAACCAGAAGAAAAAGTTTGTTCATGCTTTGTTTCAATACTACGAATGTTTTCACTACAACAACAAATTAAAACGTGCCGCAAAAAAAATTTTTTTTTTATAAAAATTTAATTTATATGCTATATATAAACGAATAACTTACGTTTGGATTTTTTCTTTAGGTCGATAAGTTTCCAATTCGTCTTCTAAGTCGCTAACGCGCGCCTTTAATTCGTTTCGTTCGTGGAGGATGTCTTTTAATTCGGAAGTTGTGAATCGCGGTCGATTCGGGTCGTCTACGTTGTAAACGATTAAGTTGCTTGGTAAAGTTGGGCTGGACTAGAATAAAAGTTCCTTATTAAAACACAATAAACTAAACTTTGAGTTATTTTAAGAAAATTTTCAGAAAAAAAAAATCTGAAAGTTGTCTAAAACATTAAAATAAATATAGTGTGTCCGAGAAAACCGAAAAAAAATGTCTTTTCTAAATATGGGCATTATTATTGCAAACTTTCCTCTGCCTAGTAAAAATATCAACTATATCAACTTTTTAGTAAAATTTAATTATCAAAATCTTATACCCTTTCTGCAATCAACACCAAAGTTAATAAAAAACTTTTATATGGATATTTTTCAAGAAATAGTTTATTCAACTAAATACAAGAACAGAAACTAAAGTTACAATAATCAATACCAACTCAAAGATACATTTCCTTATTCTATAGTAGGCCAATCAACAATTTGATTCCAAAACATGGCTGTTTCTGGAGAATCTTCAGAATCTTCGAAAAAGAAGTTTTATAGCAATTTTTCCGGAAGGGTTACTCAGTTGCATTGGGCCAGTTATATTGTTGGACAATTTCAAACAAAAAGTGCTAAATATTGGAATTCGATTAAACTGTCCGATCACGAGTAGACGTGTTCTGTTTCGCTTCAACAAAACTGTTATTAATTTCGTTCATTTGGTAGTGTATAATTAGACGGAGAAAATATTTCGGCCGTCGTAACTCATTTTATTTGTAACACATATGGTGGATCGTGCTCACAGGCTTGGGACGAGGAGTAGGAACATTATAGGTTCTTCTCGGCAAGCAAAAGCAAAAGCATCGCATAAACCTCGTACATTAATTGTAAAATTCGTGTCATACGCCACCAGGCAGCTGATATGGTTCAACAAGAAAAATCTTAAAGGTAGCAAATTTTTTGTAACTGAATCTCTCACCAAAAAACGTATGGAATTGTATCAATCTGCCATGGACGCTGTAGGTCCGAAAAATACATGGACTAGAGATGGAAAAATTTTTGTAGTCAATTCAAGAAATAAAGCCGTGGTTATTAAAGGAATTCTAGAACTAGAGGAGCTAGCAGTTGACAAGGGGAAGCGACATTCTGGTGTCAAAACGCGTTCTCAGCAGCTCCAAAGGGCAGTTTCCTGCTTGACTAAATAATAAATAAAACAAATTAATAAAAATTTTTTTTTTCTATTCTATAATTAAATAGGTCTTAATTTGGAAACAGTTGAGTCGTGGGTTTCGGGGGGACCCGTCTCTCAAACTTATTATTTGTTATTATTATTGTTGCTACTTTTTTATTATTGTTTTTACTCTTTTTACTTTAAAAGATGCATAAAGGGGAACCCGATTCGATTGACAGATTGTAAATGATTAAATTGTTTCTTTTTCTTTGTTGTTGCGGATTTGTGTTAGGATTGTAATCAAAAACTCATTTGTAATTAAGATTTTTTTCTTCTTGGGCGTGTTTTATTTTTATTTTTAAATTTGCCTATTGTATCTCAATATACAGGGTGTCTCAGCGAGACCGGTTATTAGACGTTTCTGGAGTTCTGGCCAAAATAAAAATTTGAGAATTCAGACTTAAGTATTATCAATTACGTTCTCTTCGTCTAAAATATTTTCAGATTTCTAGCACTTCCGGTTGTACCGGAAGTCGCCACCTACTTTATTTTTTTAAATGGAACACCCTGTATGTTTTTATATATTTGGATTTGTCTGTTTTGAAGGTTCGAGTTCTCGAGTTATTTGAATTTTTCTAGAAAAATCTGCTCCAGCGGACATTTGTTCAAAAAATCATAGAACACTAGTTTTTTGAGATATTAATTTAAGATTCAGAACATGCTTAAACAACATTATGGAGTATGTTTTGGTGCCGAGAACAGCTGTCTAGATCGTTTGGTCACTTTACTATGATACGTTAACTTTTCGAAATTTGGAAGCACCATAACATCATTTTTTTAAATGGCACCCCCCATATTTTATTACTTAGCCGTCTTCGGCGTCTCATTTTACATATTTTATACTCCATATGTCCTATGCCTAACATTAATAGTTTGAGAAATAATTAGGATTTTTTGAAAAATGCTCACATATATCAATATTAACCTAGTGTGCCATGGAAAACAAATGTTTAATGACTTATTGACAAACGTCAAAGTCTGATTTACGTTGATTGATGCTTGTGAGTCTAAAACCAGTTAAAATGGATATTAATAATGTAAATAATGAGATATCCGCATCCGCAACTGCGGATAATCCGCATTGTTTTGAGGATCCGCATCTGCATCCGCATGTATTTTAACGGAGCTCCGTTACAATAAATTATTACTAAATACTAATTAATAATTACTGATTACTATTACAATAGAAATATTATTTTCATTAAAATTTTGTACGTAACTTTTTTCAATAACTCCGCATCCGCAAAATTAAAATTAAAAAATCCGGTTCCGCAACCGCAAAACTCACATCCGTAACGTCACTAATGTATATTATTTACTTTAGTTATTTTTATAACGGTTATTTCTACAGTCTTTCGACGTTTGCCGACCTTACAGGGTGCAAGTTAAATAAGTGGCACTTTTACCTTTTCTGCTCTTGCACCCATTGAGCTTGAATTGTATATTTTTTCCTAAACTATTCAGCTTTGCATAAGGCATATTTGACTTAATCAATTACAAATGAGCTCTAGAACAACGTATTTCAATATTCACGTTTATGTACTGGTCACCCTGTAGGGCCCTTCAAGTTGCTGACCGCAATAAATTTCCATATTATAATTATAAAATGTCTTAGCATCATTTGGACAAAAGATTTTGATTCCATATTTACTTGGCTTTGAAGGAATGTATTGTCAAAATCCACATCGTTCAAGGTAACACTTAAGGAAACATTTATGGAAATCTTGATCCTGGATGCCATTTTATTATTCAGGTGGAAGGCGCTGAACTCTGTTTTTTTTAATTTGGGTGTTAGTCTCCACTTATAAAAGTATTTCCCATAACTCTTAGGTCATTACAGAGGATGTCTTCAGTAGTCTCAATCCTTTTATGTTGGGCGATAAATGCTCTTATAATCGGCATAGATACATTTTCTTGCCCTTGTGATTGATAGATCCAATATGTATAGGTTAAAAAGAACTCAGCTCATTCAGGCAATATGGGCAGTATGGCTGGTTCAGCTTTATTGCATTGCCATATTTGAGCAATTGCCTCAGATTCTGAGTATACATTAATACTATATAGAAATCCTTACATATTATTATACTAATAGTTATTTATAATAACTGCTAAAACTTCTAATGTTTTAATAAGAAATCTTACTTATTGCATTGTACTACCACAGTCACTGCCTCAGCAACATAGCTGCCTTAGCTTTTAATAATGTATTAATACAAAAAATCGTTTATTTATTATTGCATTCTAATACTTCAGCAACAGCCTCAGCAGCAAAAAATCCATTGCTTATTACATTCTATTATTAGAACTATTGCCTCAGCAGCAAAGCTGCCTCAGCTTTTGAATATACATTAATACTATATAGAAATCTTTACTTATTATTATACAACACTTCAATAACTGCCTAGGCAGCTTAGCTCGCCTTTTTTAGCTGCCTTCTAATAATATATTATTGAGAATTCTTTACATATTACATTCTGATACTGCCTCAGCTTTTAAGAATACATTAATACTGTATAAGAACCTTCACTTATTATTATGAAGCACTTTAATCATTGCCTTAGCTTCTAACTAACTTATAACTAATTCAAGAAAGAGATTAATAAAGAAAACATTATGTATCATCTTAAGCACTCTTTTTAATACACCAACCTTTGTTAAATCCTCATTTTCTTTTTGAGCCAACCCCAACTGTTGCCTCAACCCAATTAAATCCCGTTGTTGTTCCTTCAATTGCACCAAAAAATCAGCTCTTTCATCACACAACTGCCTCACCTGCGACTGAAATGATTTGTGCTTCCTACTCAACTCCCGACTATTAATTTTTAATCGCTCCACTTGAGATTTCAACTAAAAATATAAAAAATTAGTTTAATTCCATCAATTTTTTATGGACAAACCTTATCGATATCGTTACACTTTTCTTGTATACACGCTTCCTTAATACGTAATTCCCCACGTTGTTTTTCAAGCGCCGTTTGTAATCGTTGAAGAATTAAGCCATCTCCAGTTTCCGGAGAATCTTTCAGTGGCTTTAAATCTTGTTTAGCTAATCGACGATTTTCTTCTTGTAATCGAGATACAGCCGATACTAATTCTTTAGTTTCTAACCTCCATTGTTCTTCAATCGCTTCTAATTCCTAATAAATTAATAATTAAAAAATTAAATTTAAAAAAAGTTAGGTTATGTTAATTTTGACATGTCAAATTTGACATAACCAAAAAAAAAAAATTTTTTTTTAGTTAATTTGATTTAAATCAATTAATACCTTCTCAAATTTCCTTCTATACTCAGCTTTTTCAAGCTTCTCGTTCTCCAATTGAACGATTTTCAATTTTAATTCTGCTAAATGGGTATTTTCTCTCTCATTTTTCGTCGCTAAATATTCTAAATGCTCCAAAGCGTTAATTACTTTCGGCATAAGGGAGGTAACGGCGTCCGCCCCGAATTGATCGATAATTTTCTCGCACTCCTTCCCAATTTCGGAGGCGATATCGTAAACATCGACGACCGTCACTTCTCCTATTAGTTCTTCGCCCATGTCCTCCATGGTAATCGTCCTGCGTTTGGGCGAGATCCTCGACGGTTTTGGCATTAAAATAACACTTTTTTTAATCGATTTCGTTAAAAAAACTCGGAATAAAAAAGATTGACACTAACCTATACGCAAAGTGACATTTTTAACAATGTGAAGATAGGTCTCGATGACGTTTATCGATTCGATAATTTTGTGTTTTTTTTTAAGTGTTTTAGATAAGATTAAAAATTATTAATCGGTCAAATTCCGATGTTTTATCGATTAATTTAGTTATTTAATGATTTAAATTTATTTAAATAAATTAATTTTATTATAATTTTCCAAAAAACTTTTAGGTTGGTACTTAATAACTAAACTAATTTCACACCAAAACAATGTCGTTTTGACGTTTGTGTTTACTTAGAGAGTTAAATTAATAACTTTTTGGCGGTTGTTTACGCGGAAACCGAGAAAATGTTGTTTTTTTATTGATAAATGAGTCGAAAGGTTCGATTCACGCTTAAATTGGACCCTATTTCGAGATTGTTTACTATTTCTGGGTGAGTTTATTTAGGTTAAGGCCAGGGTATGATGTTATTGATTTTTTATTCTTATTTGCTCTAATTATGCTAATTTTAACCTGTTTATTGCTTCAATTAATAATAATAAGGCGAAATTATTGATATCTTTTGGATTTATAATGAAATTAAGGTTTTAACCCAAAAAAAAGCGGCATAACCTCACTTTTTTAACTTCAAAATCTTCTTTATTGTCTTTAAAAACACATCAATATTATAATATATGTAATTAATTGTAATTTAAAATAGCAGTCTTTTAGGTTCACTTAAAAAAAGGTTTTGTTCTCCCGGAGATCATTATTATTGTCCTGTAGGTGTTTGTGGTGCCCCAAAAGTTTCCTGCGAGGCGTAAGTGATATAAAGGAATCCATCTGGACCGGCGTGTTCCGCATAAACCTCCGCAAACGTTATTGAAAGGCTGACTAAAGATCGATCGTTCACCAATAAATACAATGATTGAGTTGGCTTCATTTTTATTCGATTCCTAAATTTATTGAAATAAATGATTGAAATAACATTAATTTTGTGCCACTCACTTGATTATCATTAAAAATTGGCTCATAGTTAACTCTTGGGGCACCAAAAACTTGGTTTTTTCCAATTGCGGCAAATTGCTTTCTTTTGCAAACCTTTGAACGATGATCTGAAACCAATTAAACGCAATTTAATTCAAATTGATAAATAAACTCGATAAATAAACATCCTAAAACTAATAAATGTAATTAATTAATCAAAAAACTGATTTATTTGATTATAAAATTAATTAAAGTTGCCAAAATTTCAAGTCTAATTTAACTTACAGGTATTTTAGTTGGAAATCGATTTCTTATGGCTAAAACTTCTTCTTTTCTAACGTCTATTGATTTGTTTTTATAATTTTTATTGTTTGAATTTAAATCCCAATTGGTTTTTTTATCCTCCATGTTAACCGCGATATTTTTAATAATTTTATCCATGAAACACGTTTTATCTCCGTCGATTTTAGACTTGCAGTCGCAATCGGACGTAACTAAGCCTCTCGTAAACATGTAAAAACTTCCGTCGGGGTCTCAATTTTCGTTAATTTCATAGGAAAAAAATTAATTTGTTTTCTTGTTTTAATTCACTAAACACTTTTAATAAAGCGATTTTGTTGTTATTAATTTGTCGGGAGAAATTTGTTGGATCACTGGATGAAGGAAGATGTGTTGACGACGAGTTGGACGAGTTTATAGCGAAACTCATTCGTTCTGGTCGCGCACGTCGCCTTCCGATAATATTTATAAACTTATCTCCGGGGTTCTTTCTATTGGTGTTCCAATAATCTCTTGTTTGTTAATTTAACGTATAAACAATGCGATTGTTATATCAAGACGGGGTAAACAGAAACGTACTGAGCACAATTTGATCTGACTTAATACTTTTTTGTGTTTCAACTGGTTTGGTTTTTACTTCGTTTTATTTATTTTTATTTTATTTATCTTGATTTTACCTTTAGTGAAGCTATTAAGGTAAATTTGTAATTATTATTTAATTGTATTATTTAATAATTGTTATTTAAAAAAATGTTGTTAATAAAAATTGTGCGTAATTCAATTCTAAACACGTATTGTTGACCACAAATTTTGATTCAATCAATAATTAACACAATAATTAAAAAATGTTGATTTTTATATCATTATACAGTCCACTTGGTAGATTCGTCGAATTTAAAATATTCGATTTAAAATCACGTTACAAGCAAATATTGTAGGAAACATTTTTTGATTAAAATAATTTGTTTTGATGTTTTTTGATATGCAAAATAACGCACTGTTCACAGGGAAATTAAAATTGAGTTATTTTAAAAAATGTCATTAATAAAAGTTGTGCGTAATTCAATTCTAAACACATATTGTTGACAAAAAATTTTGATTCAAACAATAATTAATGATATATCCTCAAAAATGTTGATTCTTATATCAATATACAGTGCCTAGTATATTTATCAACATTTTTTGTGAAAATAATCGAGTTGAAACACGTTACAAACAAATATTGTAGGAAAAATTTTTTGATTAAAGTAATAATTTGTTTTGATGTTTCTGTGATATGCAAAATCGAGTGGTAAACCGCTAGTTCAAATTTTGTACACCTACTTCCCCTTTGATAAATAATTCCTTATACTTCCTACTTATATTCCTAGTATTTCCCTGTACTTCCGTGTATTTCCTCATAACTCCTTATACTTCCCGATACTTCCGTGTACTTCCCCGTAATTCCTCTTACATACTCGTACCTCCTCTCCCTTCGGACGGCATATCCACGTGTGTATTTAAGTAAAACACCCAAATAAAAGTCAATAAAAATTAACATATATTCTTTGGCAAACAAAAACATTGAGTTTTTCTATATAAAAACAGAAGATAATAATACTGACAAAACAGATTTAAAGCTTTTTATAATTCTGTTTGAAAGCTTTGTATAATTTCTTTATTTCTACATCATCATGTCTGCTAATTTGAAATATGCCGTTACCAAGTAAATTAATGCAAATCAACCGCGATGTCTGGTGTTTTCGGCCATACACAAAAATCTAAATCTTGTCGTAAGAACTGAATTTTGTACTTTTTGCTGTCGGTTTTTTGAACAGTTCTGCCTATACAGGGTGTCTCAGCGAGACCGGTTATTAGACGTTTCTGGGGTTCTGGCGAAAATAAAAATTTGAGAATTCAGACTTAAGTATTATCAATTACGATCTCTTCGTCTAAAATATTTTCAAATTTCTTGCACTTCCGGTTATACCGGAAGTCGCCATCAACTTTATTTTTTTAAATGGAACATCCTGTATATTTTTGCATATTTGGATTTGTCTGTTTTCAAGGTTTATAAATAACTTTACTTTTTGCAATTTGATTCGGTCGTTCTCGAGTTATTCGAATTTTTCTAGAAAAATCTGCTCCAGCAGACATTTGTTCAAAAAATCAGAAAACACTCAATTTTTGGGATATCAATTTAGGATTGAGAACATGCTTAAGCAACATGATGGAGTATGTTTTGGTGCCGAGAACTGCGGTCTAGAACGTTTGATCACTTTACTATGGCACGTTAACTTTTCAAAATTTGGAAGTACCATAACTTCATTTTTTTAAATGGCACCCCCCATATTTTATTTTTTAGTCGTCTTCGGTGTCTCATTCTACATCTTTTATATCCCATATGGCCCATACCTAATATTAATAGTTTGGGAGATAATTAGGGTTTTTTGAAAAATGCACACATATCATATGGATATTTAGCCTAGTGTGCCATGAAAAACAAGCCTTCTCAATGAGTTCTTGTCAAAGACTCACTTGTTTACGTCACTTGATGCATGTGAGCTAATAATTATCTGTTATGTCCCTTAATATTAGTACTGAAACGAGTTAAAATCGATAACAATAACGAAAGTAATATTTACACAAATCAAGAAATTCTTAATTTATTTTTTTTGCATGAAAAGCGCGACAAAGTTCGTAGTATGATTCCCAGATCTTCTTTGGCAGCTCGAATTGAGGTGTTGGGACTGGGCTCGAAATAAGCCAAGGTATTCACCTCTTCCGTTGCATTATCTACTACATTTTTTGGTCAGTTTAACACGTGATTAATTCGTCCAAAATGCAAAAAATTTGCTTCTATTCCTCTAAATTTACCTTTTGTCATCGGAGATAAATGTGGATAATTTTCATTAAACATTCTGCAAGTTCTACTAAGAACTTTGTCGCACTTTTCGTGCACAAAAAATAAATTATGGATTTCTTCATTTGTATAAACATTATTTACGTTATTAATATCCATTTTAACTGGTTTTAGACTCACAAGCATCAAACAACCTAAATTAGACTTTGACGTTTATCAATAAGTCATTAAACATTTGTTTTCCATGGCACACTAGGTTAATATCCATATGATATGTGAGCATTTTTCAAAAAACCCTAATTATTTCTCAAACTATTAATGTTAGGCATAGGACATATGGAATATAAAAGATGTAAAATGAGACGCCGAAGACGACTAAGTAATAAAATATGGGGGGTGCCATTTAAAAAAATGAAGTTATAGTACATCAAAATTTCGAAAAGTTAACGTACCATAGTAAAGTGACTAAACGATCTAGACAGCCGTTCTCGGCACCAAAACATACTTCATCATGTTGCTTAAGCATGTTCTGAATCCTAAATTGATATCACAAAAATCGAGTGTTCTCTGATTTTTTGAACAGATGTCTGCTGAAGCAGATTTTTTTAGAAAAATTCGAATAACTAGAGAACGGCCGAATCAAATTGCAAAAAGTAAAGTTATTTATAAACCATGAAAATAGACAAATCCAAATATGTAAAAAAATACAGGGTGTTCCATTTGAAAAAATAAAGTAGGTGGCGACTTCCGGTATAACCGGAAATGCTAGAAATCTGAAAATATTTTAGTCGAAGAGAACAGAATTGATAACACTTAAATCTGCATTCTCAAATATTTATTTTGGCCAGAACCCGAGAAACGTCTAATGACCGGTCTCGCTGAGACACCTTCTATAAATAATTATTATTCGAATCAAAATTTTTTCTAAACAATATTAATTTAGAATTGAATTACACACACTTTTTGTTAATAACATTTTTTTAAATAATTTAATTTTAATTTCTCTCTGAACAGTACAGGTGTCCCAATTTCGATGTCCGCATAGGCTATCTCCAAAACTAAAAGAGATAGAAAAAAAGTAGCTTACATGTCATGATCTCGTTTTTCGAGAAAATGCTAATGCCGAAAACTCCGAACAGCTATCGTCTTTTGTTTTCGCCCTATCGGCAAAAACTGAAAATTTTGCGAAAACGACAATCGCGAATATCTCACTTATTATCAACGATAGAGTATTATAAATAAAACATTATATGGGCAACTTTTTACGAAGAATTCAGTGGCGTAGGTAGAATTTTTTTCCCATCTATTATTTTTGGAGATTTTAGACGTAACTTTATTTTTTTAAATAAAAACCATAGTTGGCTATGACCTAAAATAATTTGTTATTTTCTTCTGATAACAAATATATATATATAGTTTGTTGGGTATATTTCTTATAGTTATTGAATAATTAACAAAAATTCATTTTGTTCTATCTAAAACTAATGTATGTATTTAAGTTAAGGACAGGAATTCTGTTATTCCTAGACATGGGTTCGAGTCCCGGCGCTGCTAATTTTTCCTTTCTGTTATTCCTGTCCTTAACGTGTAAAGGTGTCCTTCCTTCTGGTTGTGTTTCATTTATATGTTACGTACACGTTTATATTAATTCCAATTATTATTTAAATGAATTTTTGATAATTATTCAATAACTATAAGAAATATACCTCACAAACTATATATATTTGTTATCAAAAGAAAATAACAAATTATTTTAGATCATAGCCAACTATGGTTTCCATTTAAAAAAATAAAGTTACGTCTAAAATCTCGAAAATATAGGATGGGAAAAAAAATCTGCCTACACCACTGAATTCTTCGTAAAAAATTGCCCGTATAATGTTTTATTTATAATACTCCATCTTTGATAATAAGTGAGATATTCGTGATGGTCGTTTTCGCAAAATTTTCAGTTTTTGCCGATAGGGCGAAAACAAAAGACGATAGCTGTTCGGAGTTTTCGGCATTACCATTTTTTCGAAAAATGAGATCATGACATGTAAGCTACTTTTTTTGTATCTCTTTTAGTTTCGGAGATAGCCTATGCGGACATCGAAATTGAGACAGCCTGTACAGGGTGGGCAAATTTGGGTGTTATTATAGGCTATCTCAGAAACTATAAGAGATACGAAAAAAGTAGGTGTCCTGTCCCTGTATCTTTTTTCGAGACCAATCCCGCAAACACCAAACCTCTATCTTCTTTTGTTTTTAAGTTATAGCCAAAAAGTCAAATTTTCGTAATTTCAAAAAATGCTCATATTTCGTTTATTTTTCAATTTACAGAAACGGGGTTGTTACGTTCTTAAGACACTTTTTTAAGTAGAATATACTGCCGTTGAAAAATTTTAAATATACTTGATGATTTTTGAGATACAACACAAAATTGTGTTTTTTTAAATACAAACTATACTTGATTATGGTGTTACTGAAAAGAACATATTTTTAAGTTTCCAATGATGTATCGTATGTATGGTGTCTTTGCAGAAAATAAGCGTTAATTTTCAATTCCAAAATAGTAAGCGCCAAATTATTCAAAATTTTGATTATAGTAGGCGGGTCCGGACAATAAATACTACCTAGTAGCTATAATATGACAGAATAAAGGTGGTTTTGTACTATT